CTTTCACCCAAATCAAAAGAAAAGGTTAAAAAAAAATTAATTATGCATATGGTGTGGTAGGCCATGCTCTGAGTGGACATGAATGGATGCAGATAAAATGAATATGCCCCAAATGTAGGCAAAGCACAAGTTTTAAGGCCTAGAAACTGGACAGTAGGCCTGGTGATGTGGCCCACAGAGTAGCAAAAGTATTGCCTTATGTGCAGTGTAAGTTGTTTCTGAATGCCGAAGACCCTAGAGTTATGGAAAGTGTTGATTCTAGAGCTCTATGTTCCTCCCACCTTGGAGACAGCCTATTACATGCAGCCTGACAAGACTTCTGAACTTCAAATGTGCCTCTGCCAGATGCAAGGCAATCAGTGGGAGCTGTGTCCACCAACGTGCATTCACATCTGGTTCATGTTCTCTGTGCAATTTACGAGGAGCTCTGGCAGCTAGTGCCTACTGTTTCAGGATGAAAACAAAGTAAAAGGAACCCTGAAATGTGTCCGGGTTGTCATTCTTACCCGCTGTCAGTATCGTTGACTAGGCTGTGTAGCCTGTGGGGACACTCTAAGTGCCACTTGAATATTAAAGAAAGTGTTACGAGTTGTGAGGAAAAAGAAACTATTTTGGCTGGAGGCTTCATGGAGACAGCCCTTGAAGTAGATCTTGAAAAATGGATAAAATTTCTTCAAGTGAAGATGGAAGAAAGGGCATATAAGGACATGGAACAATGTGAATGATGAAATAGAAGGAGGAGAGCACAGCTGTGTACTGGAAATGGAGAGGAGTCCAGTTTGGCTGAAGAGCAGGGTAGGGGGAAGCAGTGAAAACTGAGGCTGCAAAGGGAACAAAGGCTAGGTTAACAGCCTTGACATGTAAAATACAGATAATAGGAAGCAAAAGACTGTTTTTGAGAAACTTTTTTTTTTTTTAATTGTGATTTGGGCAAAAGTTTACAGAGCAAATTCACTTTCCATACAGCAGTTCATATACACTTTGTCTCATGACATTGACCACAATTTACCACAATGCAACAACTCCCCTCCCACTTCCTCCCGATAGTTACCTCTTCTCTGTGTCCATCCCTCCATGGACTCCTGCCCCGAGCTGTCTCCCTGTGCATAAGCAGCCCTTCTTTCTCCCATGATTGTTCTCTCCAAGGAGTGTATCTACTTCAGGTAAATGTTCAACTCATATACCTTTCTTTTGTTTGGCTGGAAGCCACAGTTGTGGGTTCAATTCCATCCTGAAGTAGAGGTAGGGCCCATAGTCTCAGTGGTTCCATCAGACCAGCAAACCTAGTCCTCCCCCCCCCCCTTTTTTTTTTCCCAAATGATTTTGAGTTTTGTTCCACAGTGTTCTCCCTCTCTATCCAGGATCTCCTACATAGATCCCCCTCTGAGTGGCTGACAGTGGTAGCCAGGCACCGTCTAGTTCTTCTGGTCTCATAGTCATATAGGCTGCAGATCACATGGTGTACCAGTCGCTAGGACTAACTGTTTCCATGAATCTTTGGTTTTCTTCATTCTGGACGAGAAGAGAGCCATCGTTGCATCTACATGGCTGCTTGCAAGCTTTTAAGATCCCAGTTTCTACTTGCCAAAGTAGGAGGTGGAACAATGTTTTGTGTAGCATGTTATGCCAATTGAGCTTGATGTCCCCTGCAACTATGGTCCCAAGCCCACCAGTTCAACTATTTGGTCCCTCTGGGTAGCTGGCTGTGGCCAAGAAGTGACTACAACCTTGTCCCTTGTCAGCTCTTCTATACACCTGGGGATTATTATAGAACATACAAATACACTTGTAGAACAATTGTCTGCCAACCCTATACATGGTCTTGGGTATACTCCCCCCTGCATAGACATACCTAATTGTTCAGCCTGCCACCCATCTATCCACAATGCCACCATGTTGATCACTCACATTTGGTACACCGTCCTTCTCTTTACCCAAATCGATACTTATCTCTACCTATCTAACAGTGTTCCCTACTCTCCCCTCCCACCCCTGGTAACCAACAAAGAAAATTTCCTTCCATATACAAACCTCTCCTTGACTTTTACAATAACGGACTAATATAATATTTGTCCTTCTGTGATTGACTTATTTCACTCAGCATAATGTCCTCCAAGTTCATCCATGTTATGCAGTTATTTTGCAGATTCTATGTTATTCTTTAGGGTTGCATAGTATTCCATTGTGTGTATGTATCATAGTTTGGTTATCCATTCTTCGGTTGATGGACACCTAGGTTGTTTCCATCTTTTTGCTACTGTAAATAGTGCTGCGATGAACATGGGTGTGCATTTGTCTGTTCTTTTCATGGCTCTCACTTCTTTAGAATCTATACCTAGTAATGGAATGGCTGGGTCTGCATCTGTTTTTGAGTAACTATTAAAGCAAGTGGATTAGTAACGTGTGGTATGCACAGATAAATGACAGAATTATGATGTGTGAAACATAGGTGAAAACACTGCACAATCTCTTAAAATGTCAAGAAATAAACAGGCTATGTGTGACTGGAGAGTAGGTGAATTTGAGTTCTATTATAAAAGTAATTGGTTGCATGTCATAAGAGAGAAAACTATGAATGAATTTGGACATATAGAAGTATGATAATACTGTGAACACACGTAGAGAAGTCAAGAAGAGGCACTGGTTTGAGGGGAAGCATGTTTGTCACTTTGAAGAGTAAGGCATGCCTGATCCAAGCCATGGTTTTCAGTAGCCTTACAAGCAGCTCTGGTGGTGCAATGGTTAAGGCATTTGGCTGCTAAATGAAAGGCTGGTAGTTTGAATCGAACTCACCAGCTATTCCATGGGAAAAAGATGAGGTGGTCTGCTTCTTTAAACATTTACAACCTTGGGAACTCTATGGGGCAGTACTACTCTCTCCTGTAGTATCACTATGAGTCAGAATCAACTCGATGGCAGCAGGTTTGTTTTGGTTTTTATATGCACGAGAGAGCTGGAAAATGAGTAAAGAAGACTGCAGAGAATTTGAATTGTGGTTTTGGCAAAGAACACTGAATGTACCATGGCAGCTAGAAAAACAAGTCTCTGTAGAAGGAAGTACAGCCAGAAAGCTCCTTAGGAGCAGGAATGGCCATGGTATGGTATGGTACTTTGGTCATGTTGTCAGAAGGGACCAATCCCTGAAGAAGGATATCAGGCTTGGTAAAGTAGATGGTCACAAAATAAAGGGGAAGACCCTCAACAAAATGGACTGACCCAGTGGCTGCTATGATGGGCTCAATCATGGCAATCGTTGTCAGGATGGTGCAAGACTGGGCAGTATTTTGTTTTGTTCTGTCAGACCTGGGGTCACTGTGGGTCTGAACCTACCCAACAGCACCTGACAACATAACAACATATTTGTTTGAGATGTTGAGTTGAGTTGGGGATATCCAGGAGGAAATGTGCTACAGGCAGTTGAAAATCATGAGCTCAGAAGCCAGGTGGAGTGATTTATGAGTCACCTGCATTGAGATGACTCAGTAAGGTTGTCATAAGAATAGTACATGAACTTAATAACAGGTCCTAAATACATGACAAATGTAACAAGGATGACAGAGCATGTGGGGGAAGGGGAGAGGGGAGGAACCAAGGAAACATCCAGATTATGGGAATTTATAGCTCATGTTTGTTTTACCAGCTGTTAATTTCTCTGAAACCAGCCCTTATCCCAAATTGACCTCTTCAGTGGCTGGTAGAATTGTCAAAAGGGCACAGACTTGTATAGAAACCTATGACACTGAATCGCCAGATACTTCTAGTCTAGAAGAAATACACCAACTACATGGATTGGGTAGTGCCTAAGGCATCTGACTGCTAACCAGAAGGCTGGCGGTTCAGCTACTCACCCCCCTCCCCCAAGGAAGGTTGGGCAACCTACTTCGGTAGTGATCCTGCCTTGGAAACCCAAGGAGGGGTCACTGTAAGTCAGACCTGCTAGATGGCAGTGAGTTTTGAGTTTTTCGAGGATGAGGATACATAGCTATGAACCACAGCCTATTAATGGAAATTCATGATCGCTAAACGAATTCAATGGTGCTCTGATGGCATAGTGGTTAAAGCATTTGGCTGCTAACCAAAAGGTCAGTGGGTTCAAACTCACCAGCCGCTCCAGGGGAGAAAGATGAGGCAGTCTGCTTCTGTAAACCCTATGGGGCAGTTCCATTATGTCCTATAGGGAGCTATGAGTCAAATCGACTACATGGTAGTGGGTTTTTCAGCTTTTCAACTGAATTCAGTAATTAAAACTATCGAAATGTTTCCAAGGAGGGGTACACCTGTGCCTGGCCTGAGACCTCAGGGAAGTCGGGGAAGCGTTAGAGAGAAGGCAAACAGCTGGAGACAGATGAGCAAAGTTGACTGCCTAGGTCCCAGTTGGAAGCTGGCCACGTCATGGGGCATACCCACCCCATTGCTCATCACCCAAGACTTTAAACAATTTCAATTTCAAAGCAGAGGCCGCCCTAAGACCGCAAGGAGTCACGAGAATGGAAGCAAAGGAGGACAGAAGCCAGTTGGAAAGAGCTGGAGGTTGGCGCCCCGACGCCTACTACATTTCCCAGCATTCAGTGCGGCAACGAAGCTTTGTTTCCTGGGTGCTGATGGAAAACTTGCGGCTTGGGACTGGTAGTTGGGCTCCATGGGCTGCCCAAAATGGGAGTCTGGTGGGGCGATCTACAGGGATTGGCTAGTGAGTGTTCGCGTCCCGCCTACATAAGGTGACGACAGACGGCGGTCTTGGTACTTAAGGCGTCGTGGCCTCGCCTGCCCCGCCTTAGCTCCCGCGCTAAAGAGAAACATGTATCGTTTCCGATCACAGCTTTTCACGGGGATTTCTGCTGCCGCCACCGCCCACTCTCACCCCCGCCGCTTCTCGCCTCTGTTGTTAGCCGAAGACTCGCCTCTCAGCCGCCCGCCGCACAGACGCACGAGTAAAAATTGCAGCTCCATTGGCTGATCCTCGTTAAGCTCCGAGTTAAGGCGGCACCGGGCGTCCCACGATGCCGAAGAATAAGAAGCGGAACACTCCCCACCGCGGTGGCAGTGGTAGTGGCGGCGGAGGCGGTGGCGCAGGAGCAGCTGCAGCGACGGCGGCAGGTAAGGGGATATCCTCGCCACCCACATCCTGATTGCCGGCCAGGCTAGCGAGTCTCCTTGCGGTAGTTACAGTGGGACTTGTAGTTCTCTGCTTTCCTCAGACGTTGGTGTCTCGAGGGCGCCTGGGTGGGCTGGCGAACTACAATTCCCAGTGTGCGATGGGAGCCATGCATCGCGCTATTCGGATCTGGTGTGCGAACCCGACTCTTCAACACCGGCCGTGGGGGCAGGGAAGCTAGTAGATCCTTGTGCCCGATTGTGGGCTGGGATCTGGGTTGGCGGAAGAGAGCTGTCATTATAAGCTGGTGCGAGCTCTCCCGAGTTCTTGACGGAGGGTGGGGCAGAACTTGGAGTTGGCGTCTGTGCTGTCACTGGCTGCCTTGTCTCCAACTCCAACCTAGAGTTCGCGCGAATGCCACCCGCCCAGCGCGTTCAGGAAAGTCCAGCCAGTTTGGACGGGCTCTAGCGTCACGCGGCCTGGCCTTGTGCTATGGGGCGGTTGTGACGCAGAGGCTCCTGCTTGGCTTCGCTATGCATCCGCCTTGCCGCACGTCCACCTGGCCCGGCGGAGGTCTCGGAGCCCTGAGCTGCTGCCCCAGCTAAGGCTCTAATCCTGCCCCTGTCCAGCATGTGCCGAAGCCTCCAGCGCTCTGCTCCGCTGCCGTCAGCCAGCACGACCTCCTGCTGTCCTTTGTACTGTGTTTCCTATGGATCCTGTGCGGCGAGTCCGGGATTGACAGTAGAGCGCACACTGTAGTTGGCTAAAAGTTTAGGGTTTTTTTTCTCACAGCAAAGCTCAAGCTTTTCTTGGATGCCTAGGTGCTCAACTGAATCAGTGGCTCTCAGCTTAGTAACCATATGGTTAAGAAAAAGAAGAAAAAAATTCCAGACAGAAAGTCTTTCTACAGGGCACTCCACTGAACTGAAGTCATGTATTAAAATAAAATATGTTGTTACGTGCCGTGGAGTCGGACCCCTCCTTGGGTTTCCGAGGCAGTATCACTACGGAAGTAGATCGCCCAACCTTCCTTCCAAGGAGTGGATGGGGGATTTGAACCGCCAGCCTTCTGGTTAGCAGTCAAATGCCTTCGCCACTACGCCACCGGCTCCTTTTTTAGGTTAGAAGTTAGACTGCAACCTTTTTTTTTTTCCTTCCTGAAGCCTGCCTGACAGATCTTCCTTATCCTTGTATACCTCCTCCTGGGGTTGCCTTTCAGATTTTTACTTTGAGACTCATTTGTGGCCTTTCATCAACGTTACTGCTGCTTTTTCTATGTTTTTAGTAAACAAGATATTTTTAAATGCTGAATTTTAGTATATAAAGCAAATGGAAAAGAATATAAAGCTTCATACATTTGGAATATCTTCATAAGTTCATACTAGAACCTGTTAACTAGTTGACTGATGAATGGAACTGGGGAGGAATGTGTGGGTGAGATTCACTTTTTTAAACTTTTGTTCCACATGAATGTATTACTTATTCAATACATAAGTAGTTGAGCTGAAAAATTACTGCAAACTTAATGCTTTCTTACAAACCACCACTTTACCGTAATTTTAATTGACATAGAAGAAATGGCCTTGAAATAAGATCTCTTCACATATATATCCAACTTTTCACCTGAATGGGTTTTCCATTAAAAAAAGGTGTTTTTTTTTTTTTTTTTTTAAGTTAATGGTGGGTAAAAAACCCAATGCCACCAAGTCGATTCCGACTCATAACGCCTCCCCACTGGGTTTCTGAGGCGTAAATTTTTATGGAGGTAGATTGTACTATCTTCCTTCTGTGGAGTGCTTGGTGGGTTTGAACTGCCAAACTTCTGGTTAGCAGTCAAATGCCTTAGGCACTGCGCCACCAGAGCTCCTTTAATGGTGGGTACTAGGAAGCTAATGAAGTTTAAATCTTTCACACTAGACAGTATGCCTAAATATGGAATCTTTTGGATGTCTGTTGTTTTCTTTGATTTGAATGCCCCGTTCCCTAATTGTTCTCATCCATTCATGACCACTATTCACCTCAAAGGAGCTTCTTTTGACCTCCTAGTCTGATTCACAGGCCTCTTTGGGACTCTGGCTTCCTGTGTATCTGTCCTCTGTCAAAGCATTTGCAGAGTGAGCATTTTAAAGAAAGAACAAGGACATGCTGGTCAGTACCAGCACCACCAGCTGCTGTTGAGTTGATTCCAAATTATGGCGACCCCATGTGTGTCAGAATAGAACTGTGTTCAGTAGGATTTTCAATGGCTGATTTTTTTTCTGAAGTAGATCACCAGGCCTTCTTTCCAAGGTGCCTTTGATTGTACTTGAACTTCAACCTTTTGGTTAGCAGCTGAGTGTGTTAACTGTTTTGTACCACCCAGGTTCCTTGGGTGTCTAAAGAATGCCACCCCATTGAGTGCTACTCACAAGATATAGTAGGCATTCATACAGGGTTTTTTTATTTTCTTGAATTTTTTAACCTCCCTCTTGGCCTTGAAACTTTGAGAGAAACCATTGAAATAGGGAAGGGAGCGGAATAAGGGCTGTTGTAGGAGTACTCTTCTTGGCAGTTTAGAAATAGGCTGAGTACGAAAAAGAATAATGTCAACTGACTTGGGAATAAGTTAGTAAAAGTTAGTCAGAGGACCAGCAAGCATTGCTCAGAAACTGTCAAGAACCCTTGAGATGGCCATTTATGTTTTTGAAAGACTTGTGGTCCTTTTTTTTCCTCCCCCTGTCCTAAAGATGCCATTTTTTAAGCACTCTAAGGAGTTTTGGGATCTTGGCTTCATTACTTATTCATTATACTTCATTATATCAACTGGCATAGCTTATTCCCTTTAGAGGAATATCGTTAGCTTATCTTGAGATAAGGTTGGCGGTTCAAACCCACCAGCCACTCTGCTGAAGGAAGACTAGGCAATCTACTTCTGTAAAGATTTACCACCTCAGAAACCCAGTGGGGGTCGCTATGAGTTGGAATTGACTTGATGGCAGTGGGTTTGGTTTGTTTTTTTAATCTTAAGAATAGTAAATGTGCCATGAATTTCTTGATCACAG